TTTTAAGCCCTTACTTCGGCTTACTCGTTTTCCTTCTCGGGCACGCCCTGGGCCTAGATCCATGCAGCGCATAGAGTGCCTTCATACACACGCGCGCTTTTGCTTGAGTGGTGACATCTCGGCCATTTTTCCGCCCAATCGTTCTTTCTATCCATTTTGAAGTGCGCGCAATCCGGTGTCACTCAGCACGAGCGCGTAGCTTTGGCTAATGCATAGACGCCATTTTACCGCCCAAGTCACGCACCAAGTGCGCGAGAGCGTCACGCGCTGGCACATTCAGGGCAACAATGGATGTCTTCACCCTGAGACAGACAGACATGTAGGCACCCTAGCAGCGCATTGCGCCGGGCGCCGCGGCCTGGGTGTGGGCGGTAGCGAGGAACACCTGGATTATACTGCAGCTCCAGCAAGGGAAGTTCAAAGTCGAAAACATACCAAACCTGTCTTCTACGCTACGCTTTTATTTCCACGCTTCCTTCATTTACACGCGATGTAAGAACTGTCAAGGGGGCTAGTGGTCACAAACCTATTAATGCCATATTCTATTTAAATATTGTATTTACAATATGCTGCAAGCCATCGTAGGCCCAAGCAGGTTGATACGATTACAAGGAAGAAATACAATTTTTCTGGCGTGCCACAGACACACACGAAGAAAGATGTATGGTGGGCCACTGAAGAGAACGGCGTAGGGTCTTCGCAAGCTGAGCGCCCCCGACTGCTGCTTCATGGGCAGCAGCACGCGGAGCGTGCGCGTGAACGTGGCTTTGACGGGCTTGCAATTGCATCTGCTTGCCTGCACGTGCAGAGCCACGGCGGCGGCCAAATTCCCAGCTTGCAATAGTATATTAGCGGCGAGATGTTACGGTGGCGCCCTCGAGGGTTCCCTCTCGCGACGTCATGACCTTGCGAACAACAAGTTCGATGGTGTTTGTAATTAGCATATTGGAAGCTTGAAATCATAGCGCTCTGAAACCAACTTTGCCAACACCGTCAAAATCGAAGTTCATACATTTCTAATTATTTACGTCGATCAGAAATCCTTTGCTGATGTCATAGTCAGCATTCGACCAATCGTGGCAGGCCGACCAGAGCAACGTTTCGATCGAGCACGTCGCCAATAGAGAGGAACAGCCTGCAAGCAATCACCATACGAAAAAACATTGGGCATGAAACAAAGTAGCATTAAAGAAAAATAAGCGCGGAAACCACGTGATTTACAACACGATTTACATCGCATGTAGACCATGCAAGAGGGAATACAGACATTGGACTTTCGCTCGAATATTCGCACGTTGTGAAACGGATGAAGTTAAAAAAATGATACAAAAACTTTTTCTTCATGACACGTGTTTTACTGGCTTGGAGAATTCAAAATAAAAAATTTTAAAATCATACGGTTTTTTTTTTTCCTTTTTTTTTTGGGGGGGGGGGGGGGGGAGGGGGGAGGGGGGGAGGCGGGTAGGCAGTCAGACGTTGGCCGAAAAGGGAGGCCGAAGCGACCCGCAGCGAAGGAGCACGCTGGTCCCTAGATGGTAACAAGTCTCGGAGAAATATATCCTGACGAGCGATAACCTATAGCTTCAGGTCGTTGCTGCGAGTATTCAATGTCCCTGTCAGTCATTGAGCGCACTTTGTGGCGAAGATGCTCCGATAGCACAATGCCACGTAGAAACCGCGCGTTGCAGTCAAAATGAAACATCCGTCAGTGATTTCGAGTTATCGCTCGGACAAAACACGCACTCACAGAAAGAAAGATTGGTGTGTTTCTTTTCAAATACCGATGGCGACGGGGAAGACGCAACGGACGGCTATACAAACAACGATGTGCACGCCGAGATAGGTATACGTACGTATTTCCTCAAGTACACACTTCCATTCACGCTCGCGTATACTGGTATCGTAAGTAATGTACACTATAACTACGTACGGACGACAGTCGGAGTGGGATTCGCGTCCCCCAAGACCGGTTTCCGAGGCTGAACACAGCGAGAGTATTCCCCACTCCCTTTCACCTTACGATGGATTGCAGAGGACGCTACGAGCCATCAAAGCCAATCCGAAGCCACGTAAGTGCCACGTGACCACAGCGACGGGCGTGGAAAGAAAAACATTGTCACGTGATACATTCAGGGCGCCGGATTGACTGGTCCGGAATGGCTCGTAGTGTCCGCTGCGGTCCACCGTGAGGGGAAACGAAGTGCAGTACGCGTCTCGCCGCTCGCGTGAACATCGCAATGAGTTTCTGGAGGGGCCTGCCCGCTGCCGTCTCTGTAATGCATGGCGGGCGTGTGACGCCAGGGAACGGGGAGACCGGCCTAATCCGCGACGGTGCTTCCTCGATCGGTCGCAGTACTGCAGCCGAGCGTGCTCTCGGAACAGCTCTCTACGCCGTCCCACGTTAAGTGCGTCGTGGTGATGGGATGCCACGTTTGCTAGGTCATCAAGAACAGCGAACACCACCTAGAATAATGGAAGCCTGTGAACAGCCTCCACTACCTTCATGTGACGACATCACACTCGTGTGGCGTCAGACTCCGAGCGTCATTCGATACGTTTGTTCTCATTCAAAAGTTACGTGTGTTTTTTTTTTTTTTTTTGTAACTTTAGGTGGAAAATGGGGCCCGTTTTTGGCCGTTTTTTGTGACTGGCGCCATTCAGCTCCATATCTTGGACAGCTCCGTCGGCCGCCACTTCCCATTAAAAATTCTCGGAAAATCACCCGTAACTTTTGGAGTAAGTTAAAGGGTAGTTGTGAAACTTGGCAGTGATTGGTTCGAACCTCTCTGGGTATAGAATGAGCGTTCGGCGAAGCGTCCGGATTCGGCTGGGGCTCGTGTTCGGCCAGAAATACCAGGACTTTGAGCAGAGCGCTGCCGCAATACTGCTGTCCGATGCGTGCCACGCGTTGGCCCGCGATAGGTCACGTGATAGCAGTCTTGTACACGTTACCCGGAAAAAGTGATATATTACGAGTAATGCGATTGTTTGTAATGAGTACCGTACGAGTCTGCGTGATAGTATAGCACTGCGGTATCCGAGAGTTGTTTAGTGCCTCCTTCTAGCCTCTCTGGCAAAGCTGTTATACTTTCTGCTTGAGAACGAATTCTCTCGTTCGCAGCAATATAAATCCCCTAAATGAAGACAACTAATTACAGGAGGACACTTAAGACTGCGAACGTGTAGGAATGCGAAAACATTCATACTCGCTGCGCATTCCTACAAACAGCGCGCCCCGCTGTCCTCCGCAGAGGCCAGCCGCCCGGCCGGCCTCTGCCGCTTTTGCGGTGGCCGCACGCGCGAGCCACCCTCTCCCTTTTACCAGCGCGCGGGCCGCAGCGCCAGGAAGAGGGCTCCCCTGTGGGGTGGCGTTCCTTGGAACTATGGCGTGCGGAGCCAATGGTAATTTATCGCTCGTTTCGCTCATTAGGTGCCGTTTTTCGCGGTTACAAACAACGCCGGCTGCGTTTCATGGGACAGTTAATGCTTTCGCATTAAAACGAAACAGAAAAAAAAAATGTTGAGTGTTTGGTGTGTATTAGGGTGGATAAAAGCCCCGGAGTACAGGGCGTCGCTTGACGAAAAACTAACCGTTTTGTTGGCATCGTGAAAATAAGAGGGGTGGTCAGCAAATTTTAACCTCCTAAAACTTTTTTTTTCTTTTTTTTTTGGGGGGGGGGGGGATGGAATGCAAGGATGCTCCGTTCAAATTAAAGTTTGGCTTCTCCTCTTTTCGAGGGGCACACACCATTTCAATATAGTTTCCACCGGCGGCGATGCATTTCCGTTACCGGTGCACTAGTTTCTGCATGCCGTCGTAGAAGAAGGAAGGCGGCTGTTGACAACACCAACAGCGCACAGCATCGGTAACCTCGTCGTCAGTCGAAAACCGTGTACCCTTCAGATGTTCCTTCATCTTGGAAAGCAGTTGCTCTGATGGCGCGAAGTCCAGGCTGTGAAATCGGGGAGGCCGAACATCATGGAACTACCGCTCCTCCAGCGCGGGGTCGGTCTCGTCAACATCCGCCCTGGTTAACGGAAGTGCATCGCCGCTGGTGGGGACTTCATTGAAAAGTTAGGCGCTCCTCAGAAATGGGAAATTCCATACTTTAATTTGAATATAACATCTTCAATTCTATCACTGAATAAAAAGTTAAAGCCCAGGAGGCGAAATTTAATGAACCTCGTGGACCGGCTACGGATATCCTGATTAGAAACTGTCTGAATTTAACGCTAGGTGCTAGTAGAATATGGCCACTTTCATAAATAAACGTTATTGAATTCAAAAATTGCAAAAAAAAAATTATCGAAAATTTTGAATGAAAAAATGGCGTCAGAGTTTGGTGGCACACGCTGTTCGTCCCCGTGCATTTTCAGGCTCCATTGGTCGTCTTTTGTCATTGAAAATCTCCAAACATCGTTTCTAACTTTGGAAGCAGTTAGCGTGCAGTTGTAAATGGTTTATAATCCGAACCGGTGGTACTTATATTTAGCTGGAGTTTAATTATTCGCTGTTTCTTTGGTGTGTTTGTGTGCGAGTGTGTGTGTGCGCAAAAACAAGCGTTTCTTTTTTTTTTTTTTTGGCAGGCAACGATGTGATGTGGCAGGGTGTGCTTAAGAGGAAGTAACAATATAAACCAAAATCAATATCAGTGTGTGGCACAAGTATATGTTAATGTATGACTGCATTATCATATACACTATGCGGGCATGGTGGCGTAAGAGCCAGACATACAACGGAAAAGGAGAACTGGAAAGCGAAATATAAAGAGACTGCACGATGAAAGAAGCAATCTGAGTTCAATAGCAGCAGTGGCCCTTCGTGCGGCAAAAGGGTCGGTTGCGGTGTCAATAAAATACGTCGTAAAAACCACAAGTAAATCAAAAAGGGGTAGTGCTTCCAAGAAAGTCGTAAAAACGAAACAAGTTAGATGCGTCGTATACTCATGTGTGATTTCATTTAACTGAGTTATTTTAACGTGACTTGTTTTTCTCAACAGTCGACCCTCGGTCATCTGGGAGCCACGTGTGTCCGGTGCAAGAAGGGTAAGCAGAATTGGATATTTCCGTTTGTCTTGAACTGATCTATTCGGTTCCTTCGTTAATACCGTCATCTCTGAGAAAGAACTGCAAATCACCCACGAACTGGGTTCATTGTTTTGCTTCCGATAATCTGCGTGTGATACCATTCCTCAATATTCATTTTCTTTGAAGCAGAGAGAGTTGAGCGCACAAGCAAGAGTTCGAAACGTGTCGAAACTCTCGTCTGCAGGTAATCATATTTTAGGCGTTAGTTGAACAGTAGTAGTGCAGAACTATCGATACTACTATCGATAGTATCGTTAGTCGCCAGAAATCTGACTATCAATAGTAAAAAAAACTATCGATAGTCGCCCATCGAAAAACTATCGATAGTACTATCGATATTCGACTATCGAAAAACTATTAATAGTACTATCGATAGTCGACTACCGAAAAACTATCGATACTACTGTCGATAGTCGACTGTCGAAAAGCTACGGATAGTACTATCGATAGTCGACTATCGGAAAACTATCGTTAATCGACTACCAGAAAACTATCGATAGTCGACTATCGTAAACCTATTGATGGTACTCTCGAAGATTTACTATCGATAGTTTTGCGACACTAGTAGTTTGCGTCGCTCCCTCTTCTCTTTTTATCGCTTTATTATATTTTTTTTAATGGGACGCCAACTAACCCAGGCACGTACCATCCCAACTTTGGTTCAGCTTTCAGTGATTTTTTTTTACGTGCTTAAAAACCATTATGCAGGTCTCCTCTTTGGTGCGCAAATATATAACTATGAACAGAAAAAGAAAAACACAATTGCAGGTTTCAAACACAAATCAACAAAACACACAATATTTACAGTTCGGCAACAAGCACTTTCACTTGTTTCCTGAACACCTTAATGTCACTGTATATATCAAGTTCAGTATTTTCAATATTGATAAACATAGATTGTATTCGTGAGAGAGGAGATGGTTTACAGATGGTGTGAATGCTGAAAGTACTGCGGGTCCTAGTGGAACGAGGAGGGACATGAATATTTGGCATGACAATGAAAGTTTGGGCGAGGAGAGGAGAAAGGGAGGCGAGCGGCGGTGTGGCAACTGTGTTCGCTATAGTCCGTTGCAAGTCAAGGAGGTAGGGCGAGGGTAAGACGGGCCGGGGAGGAGGAATGCGGACGGAATGCTGGAGAAAAGATGGGAAACCTCCTCTCTTTAGCGTTCTGTCTGCTTACTCTCCCCCTTCCCGTCTTACCCTCGCCCCTCCTTCTTGAGTTGTAACGGACTATATTGATGCAAAACTATCGATAGCAGTATTGGTAGTATCGATAGTCGCCACAAATCTGACTATCGATAGTCGACTATCGAAAAACTATCGATAGTACTATCGATAGTCGGCTATAGAAAAACTATCGGTAGTACTATCGATAGTCGACTATCGATAGTTCTGAGACACTATCGATAGTTTTGGAAAAACTATCGATAGTATCGATAGTCCATTTATCTATAGTTTTGCATCACTATTGAACAGACGATTAAATACCCTTCACCGTCTTTACGAAATGATGTAAACTCAGCTAGCTGTTAGTGGCCCTTCCCGGCAAAACATGCTCATAAACAAGCGCAAAACCCCACTCTACGGCAGAACCACAGCTCTCCTTCTCTCCGTCGTTCCTCACACACGGCGAGGCTCTCCCTCGCTCTCCCTCCCTTCCCTCCTGTAGGCCGCCGCTGTCCAAGCTCCGGCGACGCTCTCCCTTTCTCCCCCCCCCCCCCCCCTCACCTTTCCGGCATCCGCCGTTGCGAAATACCCACGTGCTCTGCGACTGTGCGGACACGCTCCCTCGCCTCCTCACTGCCGCCGCCCAGGTTCCGTTCTCGTGAACTTTTCGCGCCACTACAGAACAGCTCGCATTCGGACGCTTCTTCTACGGAGTCACAAACGCCCCCGTTAAAAAAGAAAACGAAAGAAAAAACGTTTTAGCCAAAAACAACGACAGAAAACACGCTTCTGTGTTTTTTTAGCACATGCAACATATCACATAACAGTTCCACCAAAGCACACATCTCCTCACACACGTCTTTAGTACATCAATTGCACTGAAAGCAAAGAACTCATTGCATACAATGTACAGCACACTGGATGAAGACAAATCTCCTTCGACATGCCTTTCCACAACGCAGCAGCTACCGTTGCCAATCCCAGCACACCTTGTGTGGACGTTTACAATTTCTTTTTACGAAAAGCACTGGCTTCTTTAGTTGATGCTATTTGTTCAATCGTTTAATCTACTTAGCGCGTGTTCGGAGCATCACTTTGACATTTTCTTCGTCCGAGTAAATCCTATTTTACTTGGGTGCTGACAGTAGGTGTGTGCCTGATGAGCAACGCTGAGTCAACGTTCTCTCAGTTTCACTCTTAATAATCAAAGCAGCGAAATTATGAAAAAAAAAAAAAAAAAAACTAGATGCGCTGGTTCATGCTGCGTTGAATGAGCGAAATTTTATGTAAACGGCGATGAGTTTTTGAATTTACCGGTTCTTCGTCTATCTGTTTCTTTTCTGGTTGTATCATCTTGCCACCTCCCCACTTAATGTCATTATTGGTTGATTACGGCGTCCGAAGTTCTAAAGCCTCCATTCTTCTGATCGGTTCGTTGGGGGACGAAGCGATTAGATAATAATGCCTCCAGGGAAAATAAAACTACATAAAAATGTACCCATTTAAAGCTGGATACGCTCGCAGCTGGTGACGAAGGATGCCGATCGTAACACTATCCGGAGTTTTTGTCTTTTCAGCGGCGAGTACAAATTAGGTGTCACTATAAGTGGCCTTTGGAAATGGATAGCTCTTCTTTCCTTTTTGTAAGCAAGGAAACGCCCGTATAAGAAGACGGTGATATGAAACTAATAAAATAAACAACATGGTTTCGAACAGGACGAAGTTGATGAGCTCAGCTTCATCCGAAATGCAGCGTAATTAGAGGGCGATTCTCGAGAGATTTGTTCGACGAGGTGGGCTGCTTCGACCGAATCGATCGGCGGACGGGAAGTCCAGAAAAAGTCGAGTCTTGACGTTCGCTCGAGTCAGAAACGTGGAGCAGTTGCGCAAATCAACGGCCCTCTGTCAGGTGGAAGTCCCACCCCTAAGATGACAGTGCAGTGCGAGCCACGCGCTCGCCGGACCAATCAACTGCTTCCCCTTCATCGCCTGACTCCGCCCTCTGCGCATATAGATATGGGCAGGAGTGTGACCAAGCGGCAGAAGATAGACGTATATGACTGGCCCATCGAGGACGTTGCTTCTGCCGCACTTTCAGCTTAGGGGTGTACGGATTAAGTAGAGGTGGCTTCGAAAGGTTACCTATCCCACAAGAATTTCTCCCTGCGCGAGGACTATGGGACGGGTTGAGATTGCTCAATCCCTGCAAGATCTGTATTGTTACAGTGTTAGCTGCCTTTAGGCACGCAAGGATCCCCCATCGGAAGCTTAGGCATGCAAGGTGTGTCTTGCGATTACGGCCACGTACTATACGTGTGGGGTCGGCATCTGAATGCTGGCCCGTTTCTCACCGAAACTGTCGTCGAGATATCTGGCGGTTGTGTGTTGCGTTCGGCGTTGAGCGCTCTGGCTTGAGTGATGGATTGTGATGGTCACAACGTAAAGAAATTTCACTTCTTTGTCACACATAGTAACGCCGGGGATGTCGTCATATACTGGCCGCTGAATGACATCCGTGCAATGGCTGCGTACAAGACTCGGTTCGTAAAATAAAATGTGTCCCTTTCCGGCTGCGAACACTGAAGAATTTGCTCTGGGCTCGTGATTCCCCTTTCTTTTCTTTATGTAGACGCAACCGGGGTGCACTGGTTTCAACTCACGCATTCTTTTGTGTTACGATGGCTGCCTACTGAGGGTGCATCGAAGAACTTGTGTGAGAATAAACTAAAATTAAATTAATGTTTTAATTTCAAGTTTTAAATCTGAACATTTCGGCGGTCTCCTCCTGGCTAGGTAACATACATGAAAGGGGTACTTAGTAAACTCTAGCCAATTTCTTCATCGCGCCCGACGTTTGGAAGCGCGGCTGCTTGTTCGCGGATAACTTTATGTGGGCTTAAAGGTCGCAATCTGTCTTTATCTTTTTCTTACTGTCAATATTGTTTTCTTCTGTTTTTGTGTGGGCCACATTGCAGCCCGTGCATATATAGCCGCTTGGCAGCGTTTCGGTGGATCGCTTCACGTTGTTGTTCGTTTTCTGAATATGCCAAGATTCTAATAAGAGCCGTCTCCTCCAGTTCCTTTCTCTGTCAAGGATGAAACTGCTGTCGAAAGCGATAATGTGGCCAGTCACCTCAACACGTTCCTCCAGCGCGTTGCTTTGCATGTCCCTCTCGAACGTCGGACGAGGTGAAGAAATTGGTTAGAATTTACAAAGTACCCATTCATAATTGCAAGTAAATGTGTTGCATGTTGCACCATAACCTCAAAAACACCAGTCTTTCGTCGAAAGGCACAAGAAAACTTACTTTAAAGCTAATTAAACGATCTTTTAATGTGCACCTGGTGGATTCCTGTGAAGCTGAGCAGGGAGGTACAATACAATACAATACAATAAAATTTTATTTTTCCAAATTGAATTTTGCTCAACACCCACATAAGCCGATGAGGCTTATGTGGGTAATCTAGCAACGTTGAGAATCTTGCTACGTAGTCATGACGTAGCAGGAACCGTTACGTAGTCGCATTAAACATCGGAGCAGCGCCGCTCTTTGGCAAGTACGTTCAACTGTTGTAAGTTACCTCGGCCTGAACGCGATCGCGAAGCCTTTGCCCGTGCGCTTTGCCCCTTTGCGAAGGAAGCCAACGAGATGCCATGGTGGACTCGTTGAGGAATGTCGCCGAGTTGTTCCTGTGACTTTGCTGTACAGTTCAAAGCCGTTCTGCGCTTTTTAACGTCGAGATGACGCCGCGCTTTTGCATTGCTGAGAGCTGTGGTAACGATTTGTTCA